GTCCACCAGTCTCATGAGGGTGTCACGGTTCAGACACCTTTCAGATGGACATGCCCCTTCGGTGTGAAACGTGCGTGACATGTCACCGCATTGCGCTCGAGCGCAAGGTGGTGACATATCACACACCAATCACAAGAGGAGTATGTCCAACCATAAAATGAAGGTGGAACATTTCTGGCCCCATTCAGATGGAAGTAACCCCCTGGTATGAAAAGTGTTTGAGCAATTTTTTCCACTTTGATGACAAAACTTTGTAGCCAATTTGTATTATGTGCCCAGTTTAGTTGTAATTGAGTTCCAGATGAGTACCAGATGGGTTTTGGATGATTTCTACCTGATTTCAAAAACCATTCACACTTGGTTATGTTAATGAAATACTATACATTAGACACAGTCACATGAAAAGTTACAGATAAGGCACTCCCTGGGGAGTGCCCCCAAAGCTCCCCTGGTGCTTACTGTAAGGATCAGCGTGGAGGTCAGCTGTATAAGGCGGTCAAAGTTAATTCAAGCCTCTTAAGAGAATCCCGGTGCAGGGTCCTTGTTTCATGGTCAGTTGACACTTTGCGTGAGGAGCTCGGAGACACATTTTTTTTTCTGCTTGCTTTTGATTAGCCCGTTTCCACCCAGGGTACACCTCCAGTAGCTAACGCCTGACTGAAGTACATTTTACGTTAGCCTGAAACCGTTTTTGTAGTTTTTTTTTAGTTCATCCCTATCAATGTATATAGGGTAAACAGTAGATTGACTCTACTGATCAACATCAGGCAATCAGAGTATGTATGCACATTTCAGATGACCGCCAGAGGCAGTAGATTTTGTCAACAATCCAAAGAAGTCCAAGAGGCTTACCACAAATCTGTTGGGACAAGGCTGATAAGCATTTTCTTTGGTATGGGGAGAGGCATTTGTTGGGCTAAAAGTGTTGGACTATTTTTATCATGTATTTTTGGCTCTTCTCTGTCTTGGCTGTGAGCTTCTCAACTTCCTTGACGGAGAAGTTGAATTTCTGAATATTTATTTTGATTTCCAGGAAGGCCAAGTTTCCTGAGTAGGGTTGACGGTGCCATAGGGTGGGGCGCGCCAAGGTGCACCCGCCCCCCGTGCGCGCACCCGGGTCCCCGAAGATCCTGGAAATGGGGGTTGGCGCGCACCTGACTTTTAACCCTACTTTTGAAGGACCCCTGAGATATCTTGGACCGGATCCAACCGGATCACACCGGATTCAATTTTGTATGGATTTGAAATTTCCGATCTCAGTCTCTCACCACTTGGAATTATGCAGTTATGGCCTCTGACAGTGGTGGGCCGCTACGCTACGCTTTTGGCCCAAAAAGCGTAGCGTAGCGGCACTTTTTTTTCATCCAAAAACGGTAGTGTTAGCGTTTTTGTAGCGGTTTTTTGCTACGCTACGCTGCGCTACAGCGCTTTTAGCGGAAAAAGCGGCCAAAAACCGCTAAAAAGCGCTGTAGCGCAGCGCAGTGGGCCCTTTTTTGCGGCCCACACGCGTAGCGTTAGCGGTGTCGTGGCCGAATCCCGCTACGCTACGCTAAAGTTGCGTGGAATTCCGCTACGTTACGCTGCGCTAACCGCTACGGTTAGCGTAGCTGGCCCAGCGTTGCCTCTGACACAAGCACTATGCATTGTAGCAGAGGTCTTGCCTCTACAAAAAAAAAGGAAAAAAACCTTTGAACCTTGTTTTTTGAGCTTTTTTGACGGCGCCCAGCTCGCCGGGGTGCCTCCATGCTCTGGCGGTTTGACAGGCGCCCCTAGGCGCGCACCTCTTGAAAAGGTGGCGCTGTCAACCCTATTCCTGAGTAATCATAAGGTTGAGAGATTGCATTCTCTTCATCTGTGAAATCTCCATGAAATCATTTTCCTTTCAATTTGATCTCAGTCAATTAAAAAACATCCCAAATTTATTGTATTTGAAGTGCACTATTATTCTTGCTTATTCAAACTTGTAAAACCTTTGAGATATTTTCAAATGGCTCTTAAGTTTTATGTATGTGGAGGCAGTGGAGGACTTCCTGTCACCTAAATTTGTTCATTGAGAAGGACATCCTGAACATTATTTGCTGGCAAAAATCCGTTCAGATTAAGTTCTCACCAGCCAATAAATTCTAGCACCCCCTTCTAAATCAAGCAATTTAGCCAATGGGGTGTTCTCCAGTTGCAGTGCACCCGGGCAAGGCTTTCCATTTGTTTTTCTTTGTTTTCTGTAAGGTGTTTGTAATCATTGTAGTATTTTTTGTGCTTCAATATTTTTTGGGGGTTGAGGTAACCCCAGGTAAAACCTCATTCAAATTCTTAAACAACATTGGTCAACTTCCTGTCAACATTTGCGGTGTAAGACTCAAAAGTGATTATGAAAACCCTTTTGCTGAATGGAGAAGGGTATGTTGGAGTTGCAAGCTCTGCCCTTCTATACTATCAGAATAACAAGACCACCAAGCTTAGCTTGGCAATTCTATATATAGTGATAGGGATAAGTTCAAGATGAAGCTGCCAATTGATATGTGTGAGGGTATAAAGATGTTATTGACAGTTGGTTATATTGATGAAGTTGTTGTTGATGAATATGGTTCAGGGCACTTTTGGTTTATGATGATGATGAAAGTGTTAAATATGTATTTCAATGTGTATAAATCTGTAATTGTAATGTGGCTATGACTTGTAGTTATGAAATAATATATAAGACGGATTTATTTATAAGGGCCGTTGAGATGATCTGGTCCACTAGTGGGATGATGGAGGGAACAACTGGAAGGCAGAGGCCTCCTTATATAGACAAATGTGAGGGCTTTTTGGCCCCAGGGTACAAGCTGAAAGATACTACTACGAAGGGATGCATATGAATGAATAAAGGGACGCATATGTATGATCAAAGGGATGCATACATGCAATATCACTAATACAAAGGGATTCAAAATAACGTAAAGGTATTCAATTTACTACAAAGTTATTCAGTATTCAATATGCATCCTGTATTCATAATGAATATGACTAGAGTGAAGAATACAAGAAATATCCCGTGACAGGTTGAAATACGTGTAACTTCCAAACTATAAGAGATAAAGGTATGGTTGAAGTGGGTGACTAGGGGTTATTTTACCTGAGGATTCCATTTTTGATGTCATTTTTACTATATCTTGAATGTATAAAGAGATAATAAGAAATTTTTATATTTTCTGCGTAGAAACACAGTATTATTTACCACAGCGGATCTCCCAGAGCTGGTTTAGAGCCTTGAAATTCAAATTTCTCTGCAAGAATTAAGAGATTTTGGGTCTAGATTGACTTCTGTGAGGGTCCCGGATCTGACAGGAAGTCCTCCATTCTTTTGCCCCTGGGGATTTTCCAGAATTAGTGTTAGTGGCTTTCACACCACCAGTCCACAGTTTCCAAAATTCAGAAATGTCAGGGGCACACAGAAGGGATGGGCACACTTGGACCAATTCCTACTGGTCCCCACTGGTGGCTTCATCTACAATCATTTGCTTTCAGGCATCCCCAACAGCATCTTAGGTAAATTTAGAAGCAACACAGCAACAGGAATCAAAACCTCATCAACTAAAAACTTGAAATGAAAAGGAGCCTTGTGCCATATTCTCAAAGTGGTAGACAATGGACCAGACTCCTTAAGCATCCAATACAGTACATGTGATTATTTTAAAGTCAAAGAGCTAGATACTTATATTTACAAAGCTCAAGAAAACTGTGAAAATGAACATTTGTCCTCCATCTCCTTCTTTTTTACTTCACTGCTATATCACTTGTTCTCTATCAAATGGTCATGAATGCTCCTTCTTTTTATTCGTTGTTCACCATTTTCTGCTCCCACAACTTGGGCAGTTTGTGTCTAGAATAGACTATTGAAGTACCTGAAGATATTAAGAAAGCAAAAACAACAGTCCAGCTTATATCTGGTCCTGAGACTGGCACTTAATATAAGTATCTAAGCACTTTTTCAGACTTTGTCTGCTATTGACTTTGCCAATCTTTTCCTCTAAACCTTTAATTTAATCGCAACCCTTTGCCCCAACTAAGATGTTGCAAGGCCTCCCATTTCAGGATGAACTGGTGCTCCATGAATGTGATCTTTCATTAATTCAGATGGGCAGGCACACATTGACCCGATTCACAATAGCCAGTCATCAGCAAATTTTTTATCCATTATCAGCAAATCATTGATACTTAAAAACACATTCATTTTTGAAGGTGTAGTCCAGAGTCCCCCAGATTATTCCAGATCCATCCTAAAAAAGTTGCTACCAGCAACTTTTAACAGGGTGGTCAGCCATGTGAACTGGGCTATTGTAAGGTATTGGCTGGTATGTTTGGGGCATGTTGAAGACATAAAAAGATAGATGGTTGCATCATGGTGCATTTGGTCACCTGGGGTTTCTCTTGTTGGCCAGTTCAACAGGAACCCAAGGTTTTCTTGGTTTTGTGCAACATGGAGTTACATAACTGCTTTAAATTTTTATTTGCTTTTTTCATATTTTTTCCATTTTTTTGAATTTTTTGATTTTATTTTTTGCAATTTTAAATTATCTAAATTGTTTCTTTTGGGTTGCTTTGACTCCCCTTTATTATTTATTTTTCCTTCAAGTTGTTCTGTTTACGTGTTTTCTTGGGGTGTTTCATGTATCCCTCACTCTGGCTTGTGCCCACACCTATCCACACCATACGCCTTAGCAAACTAAGTCCCCCTGGTGGGAGGCTTGCTGGTGTGACTGGCTGGGCGCAAAGCGCCCCCTCCCGCAGGGAGGGACTTGAAACTTAGAACGCTTTCCCGGTGTGAGGCAGAAACACGGTTTTGGTCGTGGCAACCTTCCTTGCCCCACCACTCATTCATTATGATGCTATTTTTTTCTTGATTCTAGTAGATGATAGATCTACATAATCTTGATTTTCCTATATTTTTTTTATTTTGAAAAGGTGTGTGATTCTACTTGAAAATAGGCAATGAAGTTCATGATTTTGAACTTTAATTTTCAAATTTGGCAGAGAGGCTTGAGCGAAATCTCAGTATAAGCATATTTTTTGCCTGCAAAATGGAAATTTCTCTTTTTTTTGTTTGTTTTTTTTAAAAAGATTGGCATGGGAATACAAATAAAAAAAAAATGCAGAAAGATCAACAAGATGGCAGAGAACAAGAAAAAGGCTACAATGGAATTTTGACAAAAAAGGCATGGAAGCCAGAGGTGATAATACAAAAACAGGCCTCAAAAACAGACCTGCCTCACGCAAGCTTTGAGTAATAATATGTAAGCCTCTCTGACAAGACTGGGCTGCCGCCCAGACCTGCCCGCAAACGACTCTTGTCACGAGAGGATTAGTTAAGCTCGACACCTTAGCACAATCATCACAGGCCTTCCAGTTGCCCTGATAGTGTTGAGTCACAGTAGTCTCTGGTCCTGAAATCTGAGCAGTATTAGGAAAATTTGCAGATTCTCCCTTGGTTGATGGATGGTGGTTGTATGCTGGGGTACCGTAGTTGCTGCCAGCGGGCCGTTCATATCCATGAGCTGCCAGTTCCTGGGGAGCTGTCCGAGTGAGGTCCATGGCACCTGAAAGAGATACTGCTGCGGCAACAATCCCAGCATAGATCATGGATGCAACACCTTTCATCGTGGATACGGACAAGGCTTGGCTTCAACGTGATGGATGAAGCTGATGAGATTCGAAGTTCGAACGCAGAGAGCTGGTAGCAAATCGACTTCCGAGTAGTGATGAAGATGGTTGCTGATAAGGCTATATCGGCGATGCTTGGTGTAAGAGTTTGATGCACTATATAGCGGTACTGATTCCAAAGTTGTGTAAACTAGGAAGCAAAGTTTTTGCGTACTTTCGCTGCGACGTGACTTGGTCACTAACCAGATTTTCGGCACCTCAGATGGTTGGAAGTCCTGAGTCTAGAAAAGGCATAGCCCCATCGGCCATGAGGCCATGGATTGCGGTCTGACTCACCCAAGTCCGCGCTGACGTGGTGACCCATAACCTGCGGACCTGCCGGCCATGTTAGCAAATTTATAACCCCCTCCCTAACGCACCATGAAGGCCAATCGGTCTGAGCTATGTGCGATCATTCTAGAGAGCCAACCAAAAAAAAGACCATAGAACCCGGATGTGACTTCCGGTCACCGGCTGTAAGCGAGTTGTGAAGCCGGGTGGCGGCAGCTCGGGCCCGCGACGTTTCGCACGGCAATCGTTTATAAAGCACTGGATTCTCACCGATTCTCCGTCATCACAGAGGACAGCCCCGAGGAAACGCGACATTGATGTACCGCCCCAGTCAAGAATGGGGTTACACAATTAATGTTGCTCAACGTCAGTGCAGGTCATGAAGGGCCATGGGAAACTGAGCAGCAGTGAGCACCGCCTTCTTTTCTCCTTCAGCCCATGATCCCATCTGTTGCCCACAACCTTTAAAGAGGCACTGATCGCTGTTTCTGACATTATCCCCTCCACACCATTTCAAGACAGGCATCATCTCCATCCATCTTGTTAGCTAGATATAGTTAGGAATAATAAAAAGACCACTATACAAACTCGATTGTCACCATGATCAAGACATGTTTACCCAGTTTAGTTGTCGTCATCGTCGGTTTGCTCAGTGTAGCACGAGCGGTGGACGTGACTGGTGCTTACTCATACTACCCGGTCAACGCAACAGTACTCCGTGAGCAATTTTTCATTAATCGTTTGAATTTCCATCACATTTTGTCCACATGACCATCAAGGAGACTGATGGCGTATCGACAAAAACACAGACGTAGATGCCAATGAAGGTTCCTTCAACTGTCCGTCGTCTTGCACCTCATACATCAGTAAGTCCGGTTTCTTGTTCAACCCTTGCCAGACAACTTGAATAAATATGTGGGTCTAAAACACATTCTATTGACCGTGGATAAACAGAGGCGACTGGTTGCACAGGCATGTCAAAGAAACAGACCGATGAAATTTGCTCCCGCTCGTTCGGCGCCACGAGCGCTGCGGCTAAAAGTACGGAAGGACAATTTCACAGTTTGATTCAAACATAACGCACCTTCCGTTCTACTTGTTGACCATTCGGTTTTATCTTAAACCCGAAGTTTGTACCAATATCGTGAAGGACAAGATTCAGCAGTTCAGCTGCACGGGTGTTGATCCCACATCGAGTGAGCATTTAGTCAGACCTTCTTCTTGTTTACGTCTCTCACCAAGATGGAGAGACACCAACTGACAGTCAATCTCCTTCCAGAATTCTCTTGTTCAGGTTGCACCAAGATCGGCTCTTAGTCCAATTGCAGCACCTTTCGCAGCTCGCGTCGCTGTAGCATCCTTACTTGAGTAACTAGCTGGGGTAGCTCCTTCTCTCTTCAGTCTGAATCAGCCTTTGAGTTTTACGAGCAGATGGACCAAGCAAGCAATGATATTTGATTTTCGAATTAATTGGATTGTGTCGCAGTCACTTCCATGACGTCACTGAGCGCTGAGATGACCATGGAACTTGTATTGACACTTTTGAATTTCCCGATGAGTAATTGAGAATGAGGGCCGGATCGGGGCTAATAGGATAGAAGAACATGAGCCAGGGCAACACAAAATGGCCCTTCAACACGTCTCACAAGAAGTCTGAAAAGAAAAAATGAGATCAAAAGATGGACAGTCGAAAAACATAAATAGGCGATCTCATGTGGTCATTTGGGAAAGCCGATGTGGAACAGAGGTGTGCGGTTGTGAAGATTGAAATGGTTTGCAGGTATTTCAAGGCTGCCCAGCAATGTGGATGAGTGGAAGAAGAGGCCGATGAGATGAAGATCGACTCGGAATGGTCTCACTTGTGCAGTTTATCTTGCAGATGTTCCTTATCGACATCTCGACTGAGCATTCCATTTTCAGACCGTTCTTACATCTTGACGTCTTTGTTTCAGTGATCCATACTGGTGGGCAACTTCAATTTCTTGCTTGCGCTTGCCTTTTTCTGCAACTGACATACAGTCGGAGTGGTAAACCGCTTGCATGCTAGACTGATAGAAGAACATGGAATTCATTGTATGTATGCCGGGGTCAAACCGAAGTTCGGAATTAGGGTATCGGGACGGCCGGACATCCTGACCCGACCTGGCTGCACACCTGAGTGTATGCGCGCTGGAGATTTTGGATGAATCGGCACACAATCTACAAACACCCGGAGCCCAAAAGTCACGATAACTTGACCAATCAATTGTGACCAATGGAGTCGATTAATGTCTTAACGATTGCCGGAAGCGACTCCAGCGGAGGCGCAGGGATCCAAGCAGGTAAGTATTGAGCACCTTCTTCCTCGCAACTTATGTACCATGACATCCATTCGAGCCACGATTGATATAAGAGCGAGAGCTGAAATGAAATGGTTTGATAGACCTGAAGACGTTCACCAGCTTGGAAGCCTATGGCATGTCGGTCATCAGTAAGTCATTTTCTCCGCTCACCATAATATAAATCCAATCCGCCCAAACCCTGCGATTTGGTTACTCTTGCTGAAAAACTTGATTATATACGACTAGCCGCCGTCACCGCTCAAAATACTACCGGGGTCCAAGCAGTGATCGGTATGAACCCGTCGATCGTTGCGGAACAGCTGGAAAGTGTCGTTAGCGATATCTCAGTCAGGGCGATCAAAACCGGTTTGTGGTTTTTTAACCTTTGAAGAGAATTCACTCATGCGACAAATATTGATTTTTATTTCACCTTTTATCGGGATAGGGATGTTGTCCAGCCCAGAGGTGATCGAGGCAGTAGCCCTCAGTCTTTCAAAATTCTATCCTGATCGGACCCAGCAACCTCATCTAGTGATCGATCCGGTGATGGTATCTACCTCAGGACATGAGCTACTGGGGCCAGGCGGGGCAGAAATTCTGATCAACAAGCTGTTACCGAAATCAAGCCTGGTCACTCCTAATCTACCCGAAGCTTTAATCTTATCCGGCCGGAAATCACGTCACCAAACGGTCGAAAACGTTCAAGATATGGAGAGCTGTTGTCGCGAGATCGCTCGACTTGGCGCTAAAAACGTTCTTCTCAAAGGCGGTCATATCCTTATGTCAGACGATATGGTCACCGATTTACTCTATCAAGCGGAGACCGATACTTTCAAAAGGTTCACTCATCAGTAAGCTTCCTTTTTTCGTCGTACCACAAGAACTTAAATCGGTCTTCCTTTGTTGTTTTCAAAGATAAATCGAAAACTGTTACTAAAAGCTCTAGATCTCGTCAAAAACATTGTTCCGCCAAACATCACTAGGAGACTTGAAACCCCCAACACCCATGGGACCGGTTGCACATTATCGGCTGCCATTACAGTTTACCTGGGCAAGGGATTTTCCCGTAAGTGGAGCTTATCACAAAAATGGCATCTCGATTGTTGTGATTGATAAATTTCCCTCTCTTATTCGCAATTCGGAGCCAGTGATCGATGCAGTTGAGGCAGGAATTAGATATGTAGAAGGGGGTATAGAACATAGTTTCAAAATTGGAAAAGGTTCTGGGCCGTTGAACCACTTTCACAACATCACTCAGCGCCTCATCCCCCTGTAAATTTGTTCTTTTCTCAACCCGCGAGCTTTTGCGTTTTTGACTGATTCATTTGGACGCGTACAGACCAACTGATCGTCAAAAGTATCCTTTCACGTCAGCTTTAATTGCAGCAACCGGCCATTCTTGGGACGTTTTCACTTCAAGCCATCCATTCCTACAAGGTGTCAGAGATGGTACCTTGCCGATTAGGTGCTTCCAACATTTCTTGAGACAGGACTATGTGAGTATTATATTCCAATCGTTATTTTAAGTCAAAACACTTATTAATTTATTCGGTTATTTGTTAGATTTTCTTGACTCATTACGCCAGGATTCACTCATTAATGGCTCTGAAATCCGATGAAATGAATGAAATTGAAGCCACTGCAACGATTGTTAAGCAAATCACAGAAGAAAGTAAGATTCATATCCGGGTAAGAACGTTCACTTTCCCCATTCCATCAGGGAACTTATATGTTGGACTCACAGAAAGAAGAGGTGGTCTTCTTTTGATCAAATAGATGTGCAAGGCATGGGGGTTATCAGAAACAGACTTTCTCCAAACACCTGAAAGCAATCAAACAATTGCATACACTCGAGTCAGTCCAAGGATACCAATTAAACCCATCTAATCAACTAAAACCAGATTTGCTAATGGACAAAACCCTGACTTCAGTATGTGATGGACATAGGACACAGCAAATCGCTTTTACATCTGAGGGTTGCGACAGCGCCATGTCTTCTGGGATATGGAGAAATGGCGATGAAACTAAAGAGCGACCCACTGACAGTCAAAGACGAGTCAAATCCGTATTGGGAATGGATTCTTCATTATGCTGATCCCGGGTTCCAATCAGCTGTCGCACTGGGCCGGGAAGTTTTGGAACAAATGGTCCTCAGAGATCCTCCTTCTGTTACATCGTTTCAGACACTCAAACAGATCTTTAAAAAAGTAAGTGAAGACTTCATTTTTGGTGAGAATGTATTTTCCTCGGAGACTTGAGTGACCATTCTCTCCTTCAACTTTGAATCCAATTCAGGCAGTTGAATTGGAGATCGATTTTTGGCAAATGGGCTTGGATAATCAGCTGACCCCAAATTGAGTCCGTATGTAATTCATATTACAAACACTGTATTGATTGTCACATTTTATTACTGTCAACGGGAAATCAATTTATACCCCAGGTGTTCTATATTAGATTAATCTTTATAGCAGGCAACGTTGTTTGCAAGTCACTCCCTGCGGTAGGGGGGCCCTTGGGCCCAGGGAGCGTTGGGTGAAGTCCACGTCGAAATCAAACCCTTGTCGTGATCACCATTTTAGGGTGAAACAAGACAAGACATTCCACACGGTACCCCAGCCAGCGGTGTAGAAATTGAAGGACGGCGAAGACCTATGTATTGCTTCAAACCATGTTAAATCGAAAATGAGAAAGAAAAGGACAGGTTCTCGACGTTAAACCACCCACGAAAAAGTAACAGAGTTGGAATTGAAAGTATAACTTTACCATCTGTACATGAAACTTCAAGTTATGGTGTTCTCATTCAGAGCCATCATTTTTTTCTTTTGAGTGTGTTCATGATTCCCAAGTCAAACATTATCAAATCACAAAACTCCCAAACCCATGTCTTGAAACATATCTTGCCATCCGATTGAGGTGGAGTACGATAATGATCTTGCACCAAGTGCGCAACCTCGCATCTATAAACAGCACTTAAAAAACAGATTTTCTTTGCTTTTGCATTTCTCAACCGAATCCACAAGTTATCATGTTACTCAAGACTCTAGCGGGGGACTTGTTGCGCATTGTAAGATATTGACGATCCGATAACAAGTCGATCATTTATTTCTTCTGAGAGTCAATGCTTGTGAGGACGATTCTTGCTCTTTCAGTGCTTGTAAGTACTCGCGATAGGCCGAAACGTTCTTCTTGAGTATGATAACAAGACCACATGGTGCATCGTAGTATATACGAAACTTTGACATGACGTCAGAGCATTCAAAGAGTTCATATCGATCGATGTGCTGCTCTCGGCAAAATTTGGCCAGGTGTTTATTGACCGCCTCTTCGCTGATGTGACAGAAATCGAAGTAATCGGCAATTGGCATCGGTGGATCTGGACCTACAAGGCGAGTGGCGAGTTCAGTTTACATCAAGTATTCATACGTTATGATATCAGAGGATCGACCCAGACTACGAACGTGGCTCACGTGGTACGCTGGAGAATTGAGAGTTATTGGTTGAGTTGCGAGCCTGTGACTGATGGCTGTCGTCTCCTCGTTTCATTCGCTTGACTTGCCCTACATATTTGCATGCAGAAAAGAGCCCATCAAGCTCAATGATACTGGAAAGTGAGCAAACCAAACGGAAAGTAGTAGTTAGAAAACCGCTTGCACATACTTTCAGTTGTGATCTCAATGATTGATGACATCTTCTGAGAACGGTGGTTGTCGAAAGATATGAATTAAGACGGATAGTGAATGATGCAATTTCGAATGCTTGCTTGCGCGCCGATTAACTTGACCCAGCTCTCCGGCGCACGAGCTGGACCGAATCCCGCTTCACGCAGGGCACCAAAGCGCACCCGGTGGGCGAGGCCCGACAACGGGATCCGGAAACCCACACAAGGAACCAGCTTATGAGGTCCTAACCGCAACCACAACATCGCGACAAGCTTAACAAGACCCCAGATGACGAGGTTGCTTTGCTAGCTCCATGAGGAAACACTTGTGACTCACAAGAGATATTGGGCTTGCAAAGAAAACAGTCCAGCCTGTTTTTGCAACAAATGCAGTGTTTTTTTTTTTTCACCACACTTTCCACTGGCCAGGATGATGGGTGATACTTTGTGCATAACACACGGTGATATGATGGAAGGAGGGCTGCAATCCTTTATTCTTCCTTGCTCCTCTTATTGCTACTCAATCCTGAGCAAGGCCCGGAGTAAATTGGTTAATCAGGCTGGGTGTAAAACAATTTTTTGGATCAGAATCACCAAACCATAGCCACAAACAAGTCTCAGGCCCCCCAAGAAGGTCAATACCAAACTGGGAAGATTAAATAATCAAGTTGTCATTTTTTCTGTCGTTCAAGGCATGTGCACAGATTTGGCACAATGTGGCGAGTTGAAATAGTTTTTTTTTTTTTGAATTTGGACTTGGAGGTGGTCATGACTCATAAAAAGAGAGAACTTTGATGAGAAGAAGTACAAGATTCCATACTACAAGACACCGCAAAAGGCTTTTAATAATCTTGTATGGGTTCTGAGAGAGGGTGAGATGGATACAAAAAAAAGAAATTTCACTTCCTTCATGTGCAAGAAATCACCAACGCACTCACAGAGTTTGACATCTCCACATTTTCACACCTAAACATGCAAAATCTAACCTTTCCCCTTGCTAAAAATAAAAAAACCTCCTTGTTTCCCCCTCCCCTTATAAATTGACAGAGCCCTTAGATGATCCCTCACCTTCACCCTCTTAACTCACCCTTCCTCTTTAATGTGACTTCCATAGATGAGTCCATCGTGGTGGATGAAGAAAATCCCCCTCCCCCTCCTCCTCCTCCTCAAGCCTTCACATCTTGTTGAACATGGCTTTTGGCAACCTCATCAATCAGGTCAATTCAGGCAAGGACCACATTGTCCCCAAATGCATAGCCATGAACCCTATCTTACAGCTCTTGGCCAACAATGATTTCCTCTCAAGCACCTGGAGTACACATCTGATCACCCAGTTTTTCAGTGGCTTGCCAAGCTGGAAGATTGTCATGGGATAGATATGTTTACCCTATCACTGAACATCAAGGATTGTTTTGCACTGGCTACCACCACCAATTGTCCCATAACTATCAAGGCCCCCAATGTGTGACTTTGCTTTAAACAGAAGATTGTGTTATCATCCACTCCAATCCCTCATATATGAATCTCAAGGATACCCCATGAGGGGTCATAGTTCAGAAGGCAAACAAAACTTGTCAAAGCTGGACACCCAAGTTGACAGAAAAAAGTTTGCCATCTGGGGAGCTAGCACACTCCCAGAAACACTGCTACAGATAAAATTTGATGCTCATAAGTTATATCATGGGGAATTATGAAAATTTGCATGGCCAAAAACCAAATTAATTGCATTTCCCTGAGAAATTGAATCACATTGGTCAGATAGAACTTTCCATTGGGATTCAGATACATGTAATGGATACATTGCAGATGCTATGTCTCTCTCAGCTTTTCTCCCAGAAATTTCACAGAGTGATTTTTCAACTTGTCAACTTGATGATTTGGCACCATGAGGCTAGCAACATGGCAAGGGTAATACTTAACATAATTTTAAATGAACCACCAGATTGTGAAATGTTCTACTGGCATTAAGTTCAGGGAAATATAGAAGTGTGGTCAGCACTTGGTCATATAACTGGGATCAAAAGGCAAAATTATTGAATCAAAAGTCCAGGGTGACAGGAGCTAGCTTAGAAAAGCCTTTTGCACAGAGAGGGGGGGGGCAACTTTTTCTGATACACAACTCAGTGTAATCAAATGCTGATTCAGCCAAGTTGCAGACTTGCAGTTGAGTTACCTTCCCTATATTGTTTGGTAAGCTGCTGGCTTCTTGACAACCATTCTTGACCAGGCTATCCCTCATCATTGCAAAAGGTTACTTGTATTAACAGTCCCACACTTCATTCCTATTGAATCGGGAGCCAAATTGAAAGTATTTCCAGCTGTCTGAAGAGTCACAAGGTCTTCAGAATGATATTTCTACTTGAAAGCTTGACTACTGGTTATCTGATGGACTTCAGGTTTGATATCATGGAACAATCCATTCTCTACATTACAATGGTTTCCAGGAAATGAGGGTTTACAGGGATCTTTGGGTACAGGAAAATGTAGCAAATTGTTTGATTCCCATGGTGCCATGGGTCAGGTGTGGATAATAAATTATAAGGAGGGCAATTTGGAAAAAAGGGGATTTCTTCAGCCAAATGGCTCCCCCCACAACTTCAAGCCAAAAACAACACATTATTCACAAATCCTTCCCTTGAAGGACTCAAGGAGACTGCTCACAACCCACCAGAACAGGGAAGGAACTGTGTCAAGTTGGATTTTGAGATTCCTATATGCTTGTACACCAGGGGGGCAGGATTTTAGAAAACCACCCTGGAATTTGGATAGTTTCCCATCCTGAGCACCTGGAAGTTGCTTATAAGGGTGCACTGAGCATCATTTGAACGCTTGAAAAAGCACCCAAGTGATGCTTGGCAGGCAAGACCATCCAGAGGATGTTAGAGAGCGGCGCCATACATTGGACACTCTTGATTGAGTGTCTGATGGACAACAA